AAATAATCACCAACATAGAATCATAGAGATACACAGATTATGATCATATATATATATATAATTTATATTCAAAATTTTAGTTTTTGTTTCTTATTTCCTAAAAAGTGTGGTTAAATATGAAAATTAAAATGCCTTTCTAACATGAAACATCCCTAGGCTTGAAGATTGGTATTTAGCACCTTACAAGATTGTTATTTAGCACCTTTGCAAATTCCTAATTTCTTTGGAATATTTTCTTTTTCCTGAAGTAGGTCTCTTGGGCAAAACATGTTTATAAACAGAAATGCAAAGAAGTGAATTGCTCTCCTTACATTGAGCTGGGAACTTATGAATGGATCACTGAGGTGACTCATGAAGCCAAGAACAAGACAGCTGTAATTAATGGCAGAGTGATGTTAACTCCTCCTTTCAGTGTTTGTGTGCTGGCTCTCTCATCATGAGCAGTAGAGAGTTAAGTCCTCTTTATGAACATGAGCGTTGGGACCGTCTGTGCTGTTTTGTACAGAGCCTCTTCTGCAATCTACAAGGTGGAATTGTGTTACAGTAAAGAATTGGGCTCTGGAAATCAAGGCTCACTGGGTCTAGTGAGACAGAACTATCCTAGAAATTGTATTTGGAAAAGCAAAATGCAGATAAACCTTTACCTAAGATTAGTTTCATATATGGACCTATTTGAGTTTCAGTGGTGCAAGAGTAATAGTCACCAAATAGAAACCAATTAGAATCCTGATATTCCTGAGCTAGTAGGACACACTAGTGTGGGTGAGCTGCCAATCATGTTCAGTCACGTGATCTCCAGGGAGCTAGCCACAGTCTGCAGGTGCTGTGGGGCTAAAGCTGTGCTGTTTGGTAGTTAGTTGTATTACATGTGTTTTTTACTCTGAATATTTACAGCTTATAACAGATTTATTGGGATGTAATCCTGGCAGAATAGAGAAGCTTCTGGGTTCAGAATAATACAGTATCACAATATAATCAATCTTCATCCTATTTCTAATTGTAAATCTAATTTCTATAGTTAAATGTACTATAACTACTAATAAATGAATTCAGACATTTTTGGATATTCATGAAATATGTCAGGATTGAGCAAGTCCATCTTTCTGTGTCTTAGCCTACCATCTCTGTTTAATAGATCAATGCACAGACATCCAGAGCTACCAAGTCATTCTTCTAGTTATATCTAATTTTCAGGTTTATGACTATGTTAGATTTTGGTCCTCAGGTACACATTTATGGAGTTATATTTTATTTTGTCCTTCTGTTTTTTGTTTTTTTGCTTATGAATGTGCTGAAGGAAAATTGAAGGGTAATGCATTTCATGGCATTCAGGGTTTCTCAAGTTTGTCATTGAAGTTTGATCAGTGTCTTCAAGTTGTCTGGTGAAGTTTGATTCATGCCATCCATTGTTTGCTAGCTGATTGCCAACCTGTAATGTTGTGCTGACTCTGCAAGTGTTTCTTCATCTTCTTGTCTGCCTTATGCTTGCAGAGAATGTAGTCATCAGCATATTACAGGAAATGAATGACTGCCTTGAAGAATTCTGTGGTACTTCACACTTTATTATAAGAAGATTTTTAACACACACACACACACACACACTTGCATGCACACATATACACATATACACTGAAATTAAATCAATATCATAAAATAAACTGGTCACAGCCCCTACAATGAATCTTCTTCAAAACACCAATCTTGCTTTGAAACCACAGTGATTAATTGAACAAGCAGTTATATCCCAGTCTTTCTCAATAAATGTTCAAGTAATCAATCAATCAAAAGCTGGAAGAATCTCTGACATAGTTTCAAACTTCCATTGCAGTCAAGTCTTGATGATATAGGGGTTTTGATTTCTTTGCTTTTCCACTCCTGGGGCTTGAATTTATAGCACAATTGAAGGGCGAAGCTGCCACCACTGTCCCTGAGCTTTTTTTGTTCAAGGCTAACACTCTACCACTTGAGCCACAGCTCTGCTTCTGGCTTTTGGGTGGTTAATTGGAGCTAAGAGTCTCATGGACTTTCCTGCTGTTTGGCTCTGGATGGTGATCTTCAGAGTTCAATCTCTGGATTAACTAAAATGGCAGGAAAGAAACACTGGTACTCAGCCCATATTTTTTTAAGAGGAATAACTTGCAAGGTTGAATTGAGGATTTATGCCTTTGGTATTGGGCAACACCGATAGAACTCTGCTTGACCTTCCTAATAACAATATCTGTACTCTGTTATTTCAAATTGGTCCAATATGTTTGAGGGTGCCACAAAGTATAAAATACACAATCAACTGCAAGTTCGAAGATTTGGGTTACAATGCAGTCATAGGAACTTCAGTCATTGCTCTTTGAATCCAAGTGCCCCAATAGTGTTCTTGTTGCCAAGGGGAAATGATAGTCCTCCTCTCCACCCCCAGGTCAAGAGCACATAAGCTTCTGTCTGGACCATTCTGATTATAACTGCAAAGATCCTGATTGAAAAGAAGATCATATTCCCAAGTTCTAAGTAGGCATACATTTCGAAGGATCTCTCTGCAACCCAGTAAAGATGCTACTAGAATAAGCTGATGCTCCATTATATACAACCAATACCAGTACACATCCATCATTCTCAGCCCCTGCTCACCACTGGAGTGAACTAAGACATGACAGTGAAGATAATGTGAAGATGTGTCTGTGAAATATATTTCACAGATGTAACTAGTTTATGTTTTCAAGATGGAAGGACAATCTACATGATGTTCATAATTTCTAAAAATCTTCCTAACATCTAAAGTATCTCATTCAAGGTTCTTGCCTTCATTTCCCCCATTATTAGGCCCCTTTTAATTAGCTGTACCTTATGGGTAAAATCTCTGTGCTATAAGAAACCTTAGCCTGCCCAAATCACTAAATAAATAAATATTTGTTTAATACATTATTAGTAAAACTTTCCTGTATCTATAATTAGTGCAATGTGTCATCTGAACAAACCTAGAAACTAGTATAATGATATTAGAAGTGTTGGTCCTGATAAAAATTCTTATTTAATAAGAAAAAACGCAGATCAAAACTCCATATGCTTTTCCTGTAGATTGTCATATGTTACCATCTGGGTATGATTATTCATAGTAATTTCAATCTGTAATGATATTTACTTCTTCAATAAAAGGATCTAAATTCTTAAATCTAGGTTCATTTTCAGCTCATACAATTTACCTAGGTAATCTAGAATAATATAAAACATTCTGGGTTTTGAATTTAGCCACATTTCTTATTTTAAAAAATCACGTGTACATGATAATAAAAGCAGTGGAGAAAAGCTGTTGGGAAATTTCCTAGTTCAAGTATCCCAAGGTCCAACAAAAACAAGTCGTTTCCTTCATGTTTGCTTTATTGATTACTGACATTTCTTCTTTCTGTTTGCCTTTACTGTTCTGACTCATTTTTAAACATATACACATAAAATAAGTCTCCCATTTCTGTTCATTTCTGCCATTAAAAAAATTAACTCAATTTTTTTCTCGAGGTGTGGTAGCACCACACTGGAAGTTTCTCAGTAAACAAGCCAGCTGCTGACATTTGTGAGTCTCAGGCTCAGATCACAAGCGGAGACTCACTAAGCAATTATACTCTGCTCATGACTTGGAAAAGGATTATAGATTTTGTGTGGACATTCTGTGCGGTCGCTGAGCAGTATAGAAAGAGCCAGCTTTGGCTCAAGTCCAACCTAGCTTATGTCTACCAAAGTTCTATCCTTCAGCGTCTGAGGCCATCAACTCAATGAATATTCAAGCTTATGTCTTCAGCTACCCAGGCCATTTTTTGAATGACTCTCAGGACTTAACTGACATACTGTGAGCTGGCAGCAGATGCCAGCATTTCAGATCTCTAGGTGCAGTCAAAAGAGGGAGATATGGTGCATTGCTTAGTGTATCCTTAGTATAGACACAGAGGTATGGCGTGAGACAGCTGGAGCTGGGTCTTCTGACAATCAGTACTAAACAGTGAAACTATTGAAACATATGGCTAGTGGTGGTGTTTCTTATTTAAATTTTGGTATCTATTGTTGAACCTGGGGTTAGGTTGCAAAGAGATTATTTTTATTATTCTTTAAGTTTGTGTTATGTAAGCAAGTTGCCATAACACACACACACACACACACACACACACACACACCACCACCACCACCACCACCACCACCACCACCACCACCACCACCACCACCAATTTTTCTGACAAGGTTTCTCTGTTCCACACATATAGAAAGTCTGGTCTCCCTTCTCCTCTCCTCTCTTTCCCCTTCTCTTCCTTCTGATTCCCTTCCTTACCTTTAATAGAAGTCTCAGTAAGTATTTAAAAGTGAAAGTACATTGTAATTCAAGTACAATACTTTCTTTTTCTTTTCGAGTCCTGGGGTTTGAACTCTGGGCCTGGAAGCTGTCTTTGTGCTCTTTTGCTCAAGGCTAGAGCTCCACCAATTTTGAGCCATAACTCCACTTCCAGTTTCTGGTGGTTAATTGGAGATAAGAGTTCAAGGAGTTTCCTGCTCAGGCTAGTTTTGAAATACAATCTTCAGATATTAGTCTCCTAACTAGGGAGGATAGTAGGTGTGAGCCACCAGTGCCTTGCTGTTTTTTGTTTGTTTGTTTTGATTGTCAAATAATATTTTGAAAATTAGCTCCTGGGACAGTAGAGGAATTTTAAAATGTTACATCCAAATACCCTGACTGCATCATTTATTGAAAATGCATTTCATTTACTAATGATAAAACAACAAGCATTGCATATGCATCTAATGCCATTTTTCAGTAAAGCAATCTTTAATATTTGACTATGTTAGAAGGAAAGTTGTGTAAATTGGGACAGTTAAGATCTAGAAAGCAAATATCTAATTTTTGAGCTGAGTTGAGAAGCATCCACAGGAAGAAGTTCATGAATTGCACACTAAGTGAATTCTAAACAATTTGGGACTATGAGTATAGGTGTTCATGACTCAGCAGCAATGTGATTCTTTTTTTTCAGGAAAAAGTCCAGCATCTACAGAAGGCATTTGCTTCAAGGGTGGATAAATCCACGCAGACTGAACTTCTAGGCTGTGATGTAAGTAGCCATGGAACACCATTTTTCTCTTCATTATTGGTATTCCTACCTCAACTGTTACTTCTGTATCTATTGAGCCCTTGCATTGATTTAAATAGGTTTTATTGGCTCATCATTTATCTTTTTCTCTTAAATACCCTCAAATACCTTCTAGAACTGAAAAAGATAATTGCACACACCACATAGCATACCAATGCCTTATTAATTTCTTTTTAAACCAACATTTGTAATACATTCGTTTGAACTAGCAAACTTTCAGACATGTGGAAGATACATAGGAGAATACCAAGACAGTTTGTTGTTTAGAAATACTATTTTATTTGCTAACAATTCCATAAAGTGATTATTTTTGCAGTCACCATGGGCCAAACCCATTATTTTTACCTACAGGCACACAAGAGGAAACACAGCTTTGCAGATGAATTTACAATAATATTTACAATAATATTGTAGCTCTTAGGCTTAAGTGCAGGCAATAGAAAGGAATTTAATTGGAAGTTAGTATTTTAGCTTCCTGTGAAATACTCACTGAACTGTCAAAATATGATAGTAAACATGTTTTAGTACAATTATTGCTTTTAGTAATACTAGAAGGTTTTTCAAAAACTGACATACTCATCTGTCTTTCTTTTTATTTAAATTTTTCTATCTATTTTTGAATGTAGGGGATGGTTTCAAACCAATTCTTTTTGTTTATTTATTTTTTGATTGTGAGAATGCCATTCATAGGGGTTACAATTATATGGGCAAGATAACGAGTACATTTCTTATCAAGCATTGTTGCCTCCTCTTTGTTTCCCCTTCCCATCCCTTCCCATCCTCCCCCCTCCCCACACCTGATCCTCTCCTTCCCTTACTTTTATGTTAAAAAATTGTGTGTGTGTGTGTGTGTGTGTGTGTGTGTGTGTGTGTGTGTGTGTCTGTGTCTGTGTGCACGAGCGCGCATGTGTGGGGACTGAGATTGGATATCCCAGCCTAAACTGTTTACCTAAGCTTTTTTGCTCAAGGGTAGTGCTCTGCTACTTGAGTGATAGTTCCATTTCTGTCTTATCTGTTGCTTAATTGAAGGTAAGAGTGTCATTGACTTTCTGGCTTCTGCTGGCTCTGAAGCAAGATAATCAGCTCTCAGCCTTCTGAGTAGCTAGGCTTAGAGGTGTGAGCCACCAGTGCTTATCCAGCCATACCCAACTTTTCTTAAATACAGCTATGAAATTTGCATTTGCTTTGGCTCATGACTTTAAGCTTTGTTCTGGGAAGAAAAGGTATGATTTTCTTCATTTTGAACCTAACTCAGTGATTATTCCTTCTGTATAAATATTTATCATTGTCATTGCTAGCACTTTGTTGACGAGAGGAAAAGAATACAGATAATTTCAAGGGTTCTGAAGAACTGTAGTGCAATGATAAGGCATGCTTATCTCCAAATCCTTATTAGATTAAATAACATAAAAGTAGATGCTATTTTTCTGTTGCCTTGCAAACTATATTAACATATTTAATATAGAACTACTTGCCTTCCTTTGAGAATTAGAAATAAGTCTTGAATTTTAGCAGAAATAATTTTAAATATTTATATAGTTTCTCTCTTTCTCTTTCTTTCTCTCTCTCCTCTTTCTTTCTTTCTCTTTCTATCTTTCTCTCCTTTCTGTCCTTCCTTTCTTCCTTTCTTCATTCGTTGTTTGTTCCTTCCTTCCTTTCCCCCTCCCTTTTCCTTCCCTCCCTCCCTCCCTCCTTCCCTCCCTCCCTCCCTCCCTCATTTCCTTCCTTCTTTCCTTCCTTCTTCCTTTCTTTCTTCCTTCCTTCCTTCCTTCCTTCCTTTCAACTTTTCCAACCTTACGGCTTGAACTCATGGACTGGGCACTGTCCCTGAGTTCTTCTGTTCAAGGCTAGTGCTCTACCACTTTGGGCTGAAGCATCTCTCATTTTTCTGGTAGTTAATTGGTGATAAGAGTCTCAAAGACTTTCCTGCCAGGGCTGGCTTCAAACTGTAATCCTCATATCACAGGCTCCCAGGAGGCTAGAATTACACACATGAGTCACCAGTGCCCTGCTTCTTTGTTGTTGTTGTTGTTGTTGTTGTTTTGATAGTACAGAGATTTCATTTCCAAGGGGCATTGCTTTTTCTAAACAGGAAACTTATCACTTGTGCCACCCATGGACCATTTTTGCATTGGGCATTTTCACGTTGAGGTCTCATTCTGAATTTGTGCAGGCCAGCCTGGACGGTGATCTTCTTCCTATTTGTACTTCCCTTCATTGCTTGATATGACAGACACACATGCTACTGTGTCTTGTATTGTGCATCCCCTATGATGATCAGTGTGCCACCCCAAGTCCAGCCATTGACTGAGATACCTGAGATATCTCATGAACTTTATGTCCTAACTGGCTTCAACCCTCCATCCACTCTCTGTACCTACCAAGAGACTCAGCCATTGTGCGTGGCTTATATAATTAAAAATTTTTAACAATTGCTAAAATCTATGTCTCATTAAAAAAATTCTATCATATTTGTTTTAATATATATCCCAGATAGCTAAATATCCTAAATATCAATATTCTATATCCCCGAATTCTAGTGTGATATATTAAACAATGTCAACATTTGTTTTTAAAAGGAATTCATTTTTATGATGTTTTCAGAGAATTTAATGATTCAGTATTTATCTCTTTTCAAGTTGTTTTTCCTGTTTAATTATTATTTTTATAAAGATTTATTTATATTTTTATTTTAATACTTTTATTGTAAAAATACTGTACAAAGGGCTTACAGGTACATGAGCAAGGTAATATGTACATTTTCTATGAAGCATTGTTACCTCCTCCTTTGTTTTTCCCCTACTATCCCTTCCCTCCCACCTCCACAACTACCCCCCCCCACACACATAAATTGTAAAGTTCGTTTTTCAGCATAGTGTCTTGTACATCTCATTGTTACAATGGGTCAACCTGTATCCTTATTTAAGCATTTTGTTTTTTCCCTTCCCCTGATGTTAAGCGATATGAACCCCAAGATAGGGACACAACTGTTTTTTTTTTTTGCTTTCTTGCTATTGTTTCTAACATATTTATAATGTACCATGTGATTTTTTTGTTTTTGTATATTCCTCTCCCACGGTATGACCCCTGCTTCCACTGTATTTGATGTCAGTGCCCTGAATCTTGTATATACACATCCTTAATTATTTTTTAAAAACATACCTATGTATATTGATTAGAATATATGTTTGATATATATTCTACAAGTAAGAACCTATGTATTTGTAAGTCTCTCAAGATGGACAGGTTTTCAATAAGATAATAAACACCAATCTCAACCAGGTTATATTCCAATATTGTAGCTTCATACCACCCAGGTGTAAGAAATAAATTTAGAATAACTGTATTTCAGAGTTCTCCATTTTAAGTAAATTAACTGAATGCCTGCATGGAAAAACTATTTGCTTACAATCACATGACCTTTGTGAGAGTCTGGGTTTTCATCAACAATACAAAGAAAGGGATTCTTAATACAAAGAAAGGGAAAAACATTTATGCATCTGGACTAAAATATTCCATTTCATTGCTTTTAAGGAAATGCTGTTTGGGAGACTGAATTTTAACTTGCTGAATGACTGAACATAAATATAAAATACCTGGCTTTTATGTAGCATTGTCAGATTTATGTAAGACTATCAGCAGCTGCTTGTAAGAATTGGTTACTGAGGAATGAATGGTACCTCTGGGGAAATAACCACACAATGAACAGTTAGGTCTTCAGACAAAGTTGCCTATAGCGTCCATTATAATTGCCTGTATGTACCTCTCAGTGTTCTTAATTCCTTACACCAATGCTATTGCATTTTGTCAATATGGAAATAAAAACCAACAACTTTTAAATGAAGCCATTGTTATAATCTTCATAAAAATCTTCTTTATTTCTAGTTTGTGCACATATGTGACACTGAAGACTAGTACAGTCTCTAGGACTGAATTAAGGTGAAGGAGTACCAACTTCTTAGTAAAGCGTCCTTGAATAATCTCATTATGTAAGTCTTTATTATGATTTTGGTCATTAACACTGAAAAATAATCTGTCATGAAGATTCCATGGTTCTTAGGTATATTCTAAGATATAACCATCATCAGTCAATAATAATTACTGACTACACATTGGAAACTTACAAAGGAAAATGGCCATTATGATAGTTTAAAATGCTTGGCTATTCTGCAGGGAAATGCAGAAGGAAAATATGTTAAGGGTGTTGTTTAAGGGTGCTAAGCTATATCTATTTGAAAGAATGTGATTCATCTATAATGTAATTTTTCATAGAACTTGGAAACATTGGCTATTATTTTTACTTTATATAATAAATAATTTAACACTCCTATGAATTAGGATAATTTATTATTGTTTAGGTATCTTCAGAAAATGCAGGTTGTAAATTTGAATTTTTATAAATGGTGTTCACACATATACAGTGGATGTTTGTGATTTGCAAATAATGTTTATCAGAAAGAAAAGTATCTTACAGAAATCATGCACCTTGTGAATAATTCTTATATTCATTTGTATTCTTCATAAAGCTGTCAATATCAGGAATAAATTGTTCTTTACAGATCATTCAAGATCAAGTTTCAGACATGTGAATGTTCAAATATATGAGATTGTAAGTCACCACTGATATAAACTTTATGAAGATATTGCTACACATTCTTTATTCAAAAGAAATTAGAATGTACGGAAAACACTAGCATATTGAAATCTATAAACATATACTACTGTAAATAAGTTTGAACGTTTGTAAAATATGCTACTCTACCCTGAATCGATTTATTAAGAGTCTTGAAGTCAATATGAGTGTGTGATGTATTTTGGCTTTTAATGCACCTTTTAAGAATTAAAAAAAAAAGAGACTCTCAGTGCAGGGTTATAATCACAATGGTTCTTGCAGTGAGGGATCAAAGAATAATTTTTTAGGTACCACCTATGTTATTAAGACAGAAGATGAATAGATATAG